GATGTCGGCAGTACCTTTTATGGCCAGCTTGTACTTGCCATTTTCATGGCGGTGAATTACCCTCGTGCAAAACCACTTCTGCGCCGAAGAGCTGTAGTACCAGCAGGCGCATCCATCAGGGAATGGATTCTCTGAGCCGTCTTCCGCCGCCCATTCTTCATTCAGTTCGGTGTGGTCAGTGCCGGCGGCGGACCCAGCAGCAGATGCAACAGCTATCCAATCGTCGTCCGCGGACCCAGCGGCTGGCGCCGCGTCTGCGGGTGACCCCGCTTCTTTGCTGGATCCTGCGGGTGACCCCGCCTCTTTATGGAATCGGCGGTTCCATTCCTTGAGGCGATGGTCATTGGGAAGCTGTACCCAATTTTCCCTGACGATGTTGGCCACCTCTTCGGTCATAGGGACGCGATCGGCTTCGGTGATGCGCTTTCCTCCTCCAGGGACCTCCTTGTTAGGATCATGGACGTTGCCAGCGTCATCTCCATGAGACCAATTCCACGGGGTCTCACCGTGATGAGGACTCCTGGAGGGGCGGTCCATCGGACAACTGCGCATGTGACCTTTGAAGGGCTCGCACTGACATACTTGTTTCCTGTATGTCTTGCGATCGTTGATGATCTCCTGTTTCTTAGCCCTTTTGTCCCAAGCCTCTGGCGTTTTGGTCTTGCCACCCTTGGTACGTATTATCACGCCAGTTTCGTCCCTTTTGGTGCAGTACTCCTTAGAATACCAGTGGCGGATCACGTCCATCGAATAGCCGGGGTACCAGTTGATGTACCAATCCGGCACATGCTGAGCGGATACTCCAACGGAGTGCTCAGTACTGTATGGATAGCCCGATGCATCATGTGTAGGGCGTCTGGGAGCTGAACGGCTCCTCCTGCGGGCTGGCCCCGCTGACGCACTACCACGTTCCATTGGCCTTTGATCGTCATGCTCTGAGTCTCGGGGAGGCGACGGTCGTCTGTCCCTCTTGGCGTAGCGCATGTCCTCCGAGTCCTCTGAGCTGTCCTGGACCATGAACACGTGTTGATACGGGCTTCGGAAGTACCCGATGTCGTTTAACTGCTCCATCGTGAGGTCGTTAAGGTCTATTTGATCACAACCTTGCATAAATACATCCATAGACCAAGCGGGTGGCCCCGCTGTTGCGGCTGGCGTCACTTCGGCGGGTGACCCCGCTAGAGCCTGGAGTGCTGTCAGCATCTGAGGTGCCGACATGTCCGAATCCAGGTATGGACGCAGCCGTGCCGCCCCTGGGCGCGACAGCAGGTCGTTCATGGTTATCTGCTGATGTGCTGGCGCACTCAGGAGTCGGATTGCTTCAGCGACCTGCTCTTGGAGCATGTCCTTATAGTCATCTTCCGCCTCTTCGGAGTCAGAGTACGCGGGATGGCCCCGCATTTCGTCATCAGCGTCTCCCGCCTCCGAACCAGCTCGCGAAAGGTCTGGCAGCAACGGCATGCCAATCACCTGCGGTGCCAGCGCGGCGGTGAGCTCTTCCTCGGTCGCCGGGACGGTCTCAGCTTCGGAGACCTCGTCGCCGGCGGGTGGCCCCGCTGGAAGACCGAACCAAGCATTGAACGCGACCTCGTCGACCTCGTCCCAGCCGTGGAACTCGTCGAAGAGGGTCACTGCGTAGTCTTCCAGGGCTACGGTTGCTTCAGCGTAGCGGGCCATCACGTAATACGTGGAGGAGCCCGCAGCGGGAGCCGCTTCTGGATTGACGTAAAACTCGTAGTCAATGTAGTCTATGTCATCCATAAAAGAATTTTGAGCCAAATGTACGGATCCCTTTCCTTTCCCCTTCGGGCATTGATCGCGCAAATGATCTGTGCTACCGCATGTATGACACTTCATAGTATTGCCAGAAGCGTCCCTAGGGTTGCCCCTCCGCCCTTTTCCCTTACCGGAGGTCCGCCTGTGACCCCGACCTTTGCCTCCGATAAGAACTTCTTCAAAGGCTATATCAGTTAAGGACGTGAGGAAAGCAGTGATACCCCTACCATGCATACGGCGTCTGCGACCCCCTTTGCCACGACCCTTTCCATATCGTTTGAAATGTCGGCGTACTGCACGTCTCACTTTTCTGACTGGTTTCTTCATAAAGCGCCTCCAACGGCGTTTTGATTTGCGATAGGCCATAAAAGCGGCTTCCGCTCTTTGTTGTTCAGAAAGGTGAGTGTCATCCGCTGGATAGTCATTACCAGCAGAGACTATGCCATTGTGCTCATCGTCAGATGAGGTGTCTGTGTCAGTGCCAGATTCAAACGGTGAGGGTGGCTGAGACCCTTGAGCGGATGACTCCGCTTGGCCCCAGAGGGTTGTGCCCGAGGGCGGGCTTGCAGTGTAGGCGGCGCCTGGCGAGTAGTTCGACCAGGCGTTCGCCTCAGCTGCCTCTGCCGATGCCTGGCCAGTCTGCCCTAAAAGGGCAGTGGCCTCGTTGGGCATATCGGCTGGGTCAGCCCAAGGATTTGGCTCGCCAGGACCAGCGGGTGACCCCGCAGTCGTGGCGTAGACACCTGCATGTGAGTGGTGCCCTGTGAAGATACCCGCTATGTTGCCAGGAGAGCGCTCGGCGACATGTCCGTAGTTCCTCATCCTGGTCAGCAGCCTGTCATAGTCTGCTTGTGTTCGGGGCATCTGATGATTAAAGGGCTCCAGCAGGTGTTGGGCTCGTGACGCGCCAACGCCTAACGCTCTGAAGAGAATCAGCGTTAGGATCTGAAAGTTGGGGATGACAAATCCAACAGAGTTAGCCTCGTCACGGGCCATCTCGAACCGAGCTAACACTGAGTCGATTCGCTCGCCCCTTTCGACGCGAAAGTCGATAAGGGCAGTGCCAGAGTTGAGCTGGCGCTCATCTTCCAGATTTTCAAATTTGGTGCTCAGTAAGTACAGTATATATGTTACTGCATCCGTTGGCTGTCCATTGACAGTTACACCATAATTGATGATCTGGGAGGGGACCTGCATGGCGATACGACGAGCAAGACCTTGAAGGCCTCGTTGTAGTGCTGCAGCTTGTTGTGGTGGTGTCATATTGCCGCTCGTTACGTTTAACCATGCATGTACTTCGCGAACATATTCGCGAAAAGGCGTAGTACCGGCAGGGTCCCATGAGGGGCCAGTAGTACGCGTGTCGTCCATCCCCTGCCGCATGTATCCCACAGCACATCCCATTATTACCCACAGAATGCCGAAGATAGTTATCTTAATCCAGTGCATGTGCATTTCGGCTTCGGTGATTGGTTTAGGCTGTGGTTTGTCAGGCTCTGGCGTAGTAGCCGTGAGGCGCCTGACTGGCACGGGATGCAGGTGGCCCCGCTGCGGGTAGCCCCGCAGGGTGACCACGTTCTCGATCGAGTTGCCGATTGGCATCTGGTGGAAGTCGGGAGTGAAGTAGCGCAGTGAAGTAGGAGAGAGCGTCTCGAGTTCGCGGGTTGCCCCGCTAGCTCGATCGCGGACTGGCTCCGCTCCTCGCAGAGCCGGCGCAACATGGTATTCCACCGTAGTAGTAGTCCACCAAGTTGTGCCGTGGATTACTGGAATCAGAGCGAGAGCCAGCCACACGAGAGTGTAGCCAGCTCCGCTACCAAGTCGAAAACAAGCTGGTAAGCTTAGGTATGTGTTACGCTTTAAGCGTTGCCATATCCCAGGCTTTGGCTCATATCGCATGAGCAAGAGAGCAAGACGAAGCATGGGATCTGGAGTAAAGGATAGGATGGGCATCGTCAATGGAAAAGGTATTTTCCGATCTCTGATGCAAGTCGTGCGCCTCGGTGAGGCACAATCACATATTTGGCCGGGCCCGGCTTGAGCCAGGCACGGCAGCGGTACATGCTCGATTTATACCTCGCCTTTAACCTTCTCCGTTTAAAGTCCACCAGGCCCCTAGAAGACGCCAAGAAAGCCTCCAGAAACCCACATCATTCATTTCCCCTAGATGTTTTTTCGGATGTGAGCCTTCTCGCCGTCTCGGGCTTCCAACATTCCAGGACAACACCAGAAGCCTCCAATCTGACCCCAACACGGCCCAAGAAAACCCGTAGAAGGCCCCAGGACGGCCCAAGAGGGCTCCAAAACAGTCCAAGAGACACCCATGAAGAGACCTTGAGGGCTTCAAGAAGGCCTCAAACAGGCCCAGAGAGGCCTCCAACACGACCTCCGAAGGCGCCAGACGACCCATCTCCGCCAAAAGATGGCCCAAGACGCCCCAACGGGCCCCTGAGAGCCCCCAAGTGTCCCCACGAGCTTATAAAAAACTCCAGGCAGGACCCACAATCACATACTCTACACACTCTGGACGTGCGCCCCGCGAAACGATCGACCTACCCCGCTCTAGGGTTTCGCGGCACTCCTTTACGCTGGGAGAGCAGACTTGTCCAAGACCAACTCTTCATCCCGATCTGTTCTTTGACCACCCTGGGGCCTGTGGAAAACCCACGGAGCCGGGAAACAGAAAAAACTTTCGGATCCGTCTCCCGCAAGACCCCTTCCCAGACATTCGGTGCCTGCCTGGATTGCTGTCAGTGAGGGTTCCCCTCAAACGCCGGCCCCTTCCTCAAGGACGGTGTCTCTTTCCGAGTCGACCGTTGACCGCTGGGGCCTGGCGAGGCCCCGCGGAGGCCGAACACGGCCAGGCACCTGCTGCCGTGATTTTGGGCGGCGCGCACAAGGGGGTGGAGGGAAGGGGGGGGCTTCTTAGGAGGCTGCTTCTTAGAAGGCGCCGGCCTTGATCTGTAGACAAGGCCCGCGCCTTCTAAGAAACAGGGGTGCTTCTAAGAAGCCCTCCCCCCTACCCACACCCCCCTCTGCGCGAGGCTGAGATGTTATACGACGCGATTTTGTCTGGGCGTCCTCCCCCCTACCGCCACCCTAAACCCAAAACCCAAAACCCAAAACCCTAAACCCTAAACCGTAAACCCTAAACCCAGTTCTGGCGCGGCGAGTGGCGCGCGGCGGCCGCGCGCGCCAGTGCGCGGTGCGCGCGGGCGCCCAGCCTGTCTTCCCGGTGAAGCACGTGCCGCAGACCTCGCACACCTGGGTCAGGTCAGGCCCCGCTCTCGGGGAGGCGTGGGGAGGAGGAGGAGGATGAGGAGGAGGGTGAGGAAGAGGCGGATGAGAGGAGGAGTAGGAGGCGGACGAGGAGGAGGAGGAAGAGGAGGAAGAGGAGGAGGAGGAGCAGGAGGAGGAGGAGAAGGAGGAGGAAGAGGAGGACGAGGAGCAAGAGGATCAACGAGTATCGAGCTGTCTGGCGCAGTCGTTGATATAATTACATGCGGCTCTGCTGCTTTGCAACGTATTTTAAGGAACTTGCCCTCTGCTCCAGCCGATTGATCTACTCTGGAAAAGGGTGGGGCGGGATTGGATGCCCCAACTGAGAGGAGCCACCTCTCCCCCGAGGAACTGCAACAACTAACCCATGTTGGTGGCATGAGAGGCTGCCTTTCAGCGTCCAAGGCAACGGCGGCAATCGTCACTGAGCGAATGCAACGAAAAGAACGATGCGAGAGTGGACGGGGCAGGGGGAGGCGGGCGAGGGGCAACGGCGCCGTTCCCCTCCCTTTCCTCGACCTCCAGCGCGTCCGCCGTAGCGCGCAGGAGGACGGTGCGGCACCGAGTGGGCCATCCCCTCGGCATTGACGGCACGGGCGCAGGCCTCGTCGGGGGCGCGCGTACGCTGGACCGCCTCCACGGCCAGGGTGCCAGCAATTAAATTACCTCCGACAAGCCAGAGAGGAACTGATCTGGAGACGGCATCCTCGGCCTCGAAATGTGAGCTGGCAGAGAGAACGGAGATCCGGGTGGCGCGCGCCTGCAGTCTTTTTTCTCGGGGATCCCACAAGTCCGTATTCGGCCCCGCAGGGCTGCGATATGCCTTGTAATGCAATCTCTGGGGCACAACTCCGTTGTCAGTAACGTGGCGCAACCATCCCGTAGTACATTCAACTGCATGAGTGAGAGCCCTGAGTTCTCCCCTCAGAACCGACTGGGACTTCCCAAGAAGCGGCCCCAAAACAGACATGCGAATCAATACAGTATGGCTCGAACGAGCTCAACATTACCATCGCAAAGCCAACGTAGTCTCCGCATCTGCTTCCGTCACTAGCGTCGCCGACAAAAATACAGGCTCCCCAAAACACCCATGACCAAGCATCAGGTCATGCTATTACCCTGCCTACCAACAACCGTCCAATCGTCCGATGTCACTGAGGGTGGCACGACAGCCCCATCAACACCACGCCTCTCAACCAACAGCAGTCCTCGGCATCGTCGCCCGCGTATGCAGCTGGAATGAGATCGTCAGGGTCAGAATCTGATGTGCATCCTCTTTTACCTTAGCACTCCCATACTCGGTGGAACTTTGTTCGATGCTCGACTGTAATCCTTGCGCATATGGCATCATGCTCTCCTTTGACCTCCAGCTGGCGCCTGGCACGAGGCCACGACTCTCCCTTGGCGACGGCCGCCATCAGTTTGCTAAGACGGCTTCCCTGCGGAAGTACCTGCACCTGCTTGATGAAACGACGCAGCGAGAAATGATCAGTGCCTCCTTGCGTTCCCTCACGACAAGAATGTGTTGCAGCCTGGGGCCCCAATTTGTCCCGAATGGAACGCCCAACACCGCCCAAGAGGAACTCAAGGCTACCTCCAAAATGACTCCCAACTCATCTCAAAGACAGAAGACGCGACGCAACCAGTCTCTCGCATCCCGCCAGAGAGGCATGCCAATGAGAGGGCTCGATGGGGTCCCAAATCGCCTCCAGCAACTGCAACATCACGGCCCCAGTGGGTCCCTGAACGGACCTAGACCTCTGACCATCAGGGGTGTCGAGGAAACACTGCAGAATCTTGGGCCAGGCCTTCGAACCACCAGAACGCAGAGCCAGTGCAGACAGCCATTGGCAGAGCCAGAAATCCAGGCAGGCGCGTGGCAACGTGTAAGCAGGGCCCCCTCCAGGGCGACACAAATCCAGCAGAGTGGTTAAACGCCGTCCTTTCCTCCCCGTTCAACGTGCCGCTCCAAGCTAACGCTTTGCTTTCGCCATGGAAACTGCAAGAACTCCATGCAAATGATGGCTGTACAACTCGACCGCTATTGTGCCTATCCGTGCAAACTTACTGGTGATCTGCTATTGGCGAGGAGCGCGAGCGACAACGACAACTCTCCGATGCGTCGACTGGGCTTTGTGAAAGCGCTTGACCTGATTCTGGCGAGCGTGACGAACTTCCCTTCATGAATCGACGCCGAAATAACCTGCCTGAATATGATAACGAACTTGCAGCAAACACCTTCCGTGAAATGTACTCGGCATCTTCCAGACTTTGGCATCTTTCGAGACACCTTTCAATCAATATTGTCTCTATGCCAGTAGTACATGTGTCGCGCAGACCTTTGACAAGCGATTGTCTCATCTGGTGGTTGGAGGCATGCACTCGTTGGGGTAAATGATCAATCGAAATACGTGTGCCCATTCCTGGATTAGCTACGGTGATTTGGACAAGACACAATCCGCCGATCCGTCGTGTGAGTTTCTAGAGGCGTCGGCTCGAGCTTCGCTTGAGCTCCGCTCTGGAAGGACGGGGCCCCCGTGCTCCGTTTTCCCGGGCTTGGGGTCCGGCCCCGGCCCTGGCTAGGATGTTTCAGAAAGCGTTTGGATCTTTGCCCTCTCAGGACTGCGCGGGTTTTTCCTGGCTGGCTCGTAGGTTTTCTCGGTCAGCCTGGGGGTCGGCCTAAGTTTGGAGTCCCGAAACCGTGCGGTGACGGACCGTGCGGTGACCTCGAAATCCCGCAAGACCTCACCGCACGGTCCGTCACCGCACGGCCTTGGGACCCTGGAGGCCCCCGTCGCCCGAGACGTCCCCGGAGAACAACCCGAGAACCCAAAACCGTGCGGTGACCCCGAATCCCCACCGACTCACCGCACGGTGCGGTCACCACCCCGTTTGGGGACCCCCGACGGAGGCCAGGTCGCCCGGAGGCCCACTCCGGAGGCCCGACAGATCCCGGAGCTCTGGGGCCTCCGACCTCCAGACGCTTGCGCGCGGCCGCGCCATGCCGCCGCGCGGGGCGCAGAGGGCAGCGGCGCTGCCGCCCGCACTCGCCGCCGCGCGAGCCAGCCGCGCGAGGACGGCCGCCGCCGGCCTGCTGACGGGAGCCTGGAGCTGGTCCACGACCCGCCGACCAGGTCGCGGCGGGCCCTGCTAGGATGACAGCGAGGCGGGGGTGGAGGCGGAGGTGCGGCGCGTGCATCTGGGAACGTACCGCGGCGCCTCCTACGCGTACTGCGACGACGTCTGCGCGCCGGTCGGGGAGCCGGCCGAAGTGGAGGGTCAACGGCGAGGCCCCTCGCCCGAAGGGCCCACTTTGAGCATGCAGGCTCGATTCGGGTGCGCTTCGCGCTGCCAAGACTCCATGCAAGACTCGCTCCAAGCGTGCCGGCTCCCTCGCAGCACACAATGCGCTGCCAGCGTTGCCGGCTGGGACCCCTGGGCACTCCGTCCCCCCCTCCCTGTCTTCCCCTCCGCGTCCTTCCTCCCTCCTCCCTCTTTCCTCCCTCCCTCCTCCTTCCTCTTCCCTCCTCCTTCGCCTCTTCCCCGTTTCGCGGCTGGGCGAGGGTTGCGCGAGTGAAAAGGAACCAGAAGGGAGGAGAAGACGGACGAGCGAGATTTTAAGGAAGCAAAACAAATAATGGGGAAATTCGGGGTCCCAAACTGGTGCCGTGACAAACTGTGCGGTTACACTGTGCTGTTTTGGGACCTTGGGGGCCCATTCGCCTGAGATCCATCCTTCAAATCTGCTCCGAAAGCAAAGGATGTTGGGACAGAAAACAGGCGATCCGCTTGAGGCATCCCCACAAAACGGCCGCGAACGGGACCGTGAGATAACCCCTGGCGGATCCCCTCAGAGGGGGTGAAAATGAGCGTGCGGGACAGGAAAATGACCACAGCCACTGCTTCTTGTTTGCGCCGCCTTCCAGCCGGACGAAAAAAAACCAGTGGTTGTGGTCATTTCCCTGGTGCCAAGCTTAACGAAATGACCACAACCACTGCTTTGTTTCTGCTGGCTGGAAGGCGGCAACAAAAGACAAGTAATGGCTGTGGTCGTTTTCGCGTCCTGTAGAGCGCCTCGCTCGAGACATCCTCCAAATCTGTTCCGAAAGCGAAGGATGCTGGAACAGAAAACAAGCGAACCGCTCGAGACATCCCCACAAAACGGCCGCGAACGGGACTGTGAGATAACCCCTGGCGGCTCCCCTTAGGAGGGTGAAAATGAGCGCCTCGCTCGAGACATCCTCCAAATCTGTTCCGAAAGCGAAGGATGTTGGGACAGAAAACAAGCGAACCGCCTGAGACATCCCCACAAAACGGCAGTGAACGGGACCGTGAGATAACCACTGGCGGCTCCCCTCAGGAGGGTGAACATGAGCGCCTCGCTCGAGACATCCTCCAAATCTGCTCCGAAAGCGAAGGATGTTGGGACAGAAAACAAGCGAACCGCTTGAGACATCCCCACAAAACGGCCGTGAACGGGAGCGTGAGATAACCACTGGCGGCTCCCCTCAGGAGGGTGAACATGAGCGCCTCGCTCGATAAATCCTCCAAATCTACTCCGAAAGCGAAGGATGTTGGGACAGAAAACAAGCGAACCGCCTGAGACATCCCCACAAAACGGCCGCGAACGGGACCGTGAGATATGCCCTGGCGGCTCCCCTTAGGGGGGTGAAAATGAACGCCTCGCTCGAGACATCCTCCAAATCTGCTCCGAAGCCGAAGGATGTTGGGACAGAAAACAAACGAACCGTTTGAGATATCCCAACAAAACGGCCGCGAACGGGACCGTGAGATAACCCTTGGCGGCTCCCCTCAGGGGGAGCTGAAACCAGCGCCGCGCCTGAGACATCCTCACAATCTGCTCTGGTAGCCAAGGATGTTGGGACAGAAAACAAGCAAACCGCTTGAGGCATCCCCACAAAACGGCCGCGAACGGGCCGCGCGTGAGTCTCACCATGAGTAGGAGTAGGTCTGAGTAGTAGTAA